GGGGGGGGTCACACTGTGTCAAAGTGAGGGTACTCGCCAGATTGTCATGTTGTTTTAGCCACCTGTTGTAGGTTGTTTTCCCCCTGCACGCATAGCTTCACCCCTGATACCCACTCCTACATGAAGTGGTTCATAAATAAATGCTTAATAACCTGTAATTAGCTTTAAGCTGTATCAATTGATAATAAAATGAAGAACATCTTCTGTGTTTCTATTCAACAATTCGACTCTGAGGTCAAGACTTCTTTTAGGTGATAGTTTGAGGCTGTATCAACTGTACTATCACCTGATGGGAACGTTAAGTTCACAATCCAATAATATTGTTACGTAGAACTGTAATTAAGTTTTCTCCAAACCATGATTTACCATATGATTGTTTCTCTGTCAAACTTTACACTCAATAAGTGCAATCAGACAATCTGAAATTCTCATACTTGTAGTCATAATTAGTTAATTCAACTATTTTGAGATTTTAAAGTTATGATCTATATCACATTAACTCAACAAGAGATGCTGTGGGAGCACAGGCTGCTTGTGATTGTTTTCACAGCTTTTTTTAGTTCTGTTAATTCTGTTAATCTGGTGGGGATTCAATGTAGCTCTGTAGGAGCAGGACCTTCATGCATTTGATCAATGTTTAAATGGCATCTACCTTCCATCTCATCAAGAAAGAATGAAAAATGGCTGTCTCATAGGCATGCATTAAATAATTCAGAAAGGTCAGTTGTGATTGCTCCATTGTGGGTGGGCTGAAAATTCTAGCTTGGTTTGATCTTAAAGTGATTGTTTTCCATTAATTTCCCTGAGCATTTGGCTGAATTTGACCCTGCATGATTATTTATAACCCTTTGAATAATCAAATGTGCAAATATTCCTCTTTATTTGAGTTTCCCTCAGTTATTCTATCACAGTGGGTTTTGCTGAGTCAATTTTCTCTTCTTTGTAAATTGATATTTCTGCTGTAAATTCTAAATCTAGGCATCATGTGACACTCACCATGCTAAGACTTGTCCCGGTAAGCTGAGCCAAAGTGTTTATGTAACGAAAAGTTGGCCTGCCTGCCAGGGTGCCAAGTTGTGACACTAGCCAAGACAAGACAACTTGCCCACCCCTGTTGTCTTGTGGGCAAGACAGGTTCATGTTCCTAAATGTAAACAGCTGGTTGAATTTTTCAAAGAAATAAGTGAAAAGTTAGCTCAGCCATGGGTAACTCAGGAGAAAGGTTGTTTTGGGTACCCAAAGACCATATAAATGGGCCCTAAAGGCCATTCTATTTTATTTCCACACTTCCTCCTCCTCTGTTGACAAGAGCTTTAGAAGGGGCTATGAAACTGTTATTTCTGCACTTTTATCTTTTCTGTTAGGTGGTAAATTTTGACTTATTTTGTGAGTTTGGGGGGGGGGGAGGAAGGGGGGCAAGGGGTGGATGGAATATCTCTAATCAGCTCTGGGTGCAACTTGTGTGTTGTCTAACTGATTATACAAACTTTACTTTCCAAAGTCTTTATGGGTAGGTGTTTGAGAGGATCATCATATATGTTCATCACTACAGTGGAACGCCACCTTGTTATTATGGCCACTTTATTCTGCCTCGAACAAAAGCTCAGTCAGTTAGTCATTTTCTTATTTGAAGAACCCCTTTAATATGGCCACACTGCTAATATGGTCAGATCTTTATGGCCTGTTGGCAACCGGATTAACAGAGTTCCACTGTAATTTAAGATTGTCAGTGTTGGTTGTTTTTAGAATATCTGTACCTCATAGAGGTGAAAATGAATTTGAGCTATTACCCACAAGACAAAATTCTGGACCATACATGTTAGGAGTGATGTATGCAATTTACAATAAACATCAGGTTTGATAGTGAAGTCCCATAACTCTTTTATTTGGAGACTGGTTATCCCCAATCCCTGAAATTACCAAGGCTAAAATCTCTATTATCATGTCATCAAAGCTGTAATGTTTTGATGCCTATTGTACCAAACACAGTTTCCTTAAGCAGTTACAACAGTCTTCCTTTAGTAAACCAAAATAGTACTTGCTGTGAGGTGCTTCATAAAAGTATAAACCTTCCAGAAGCCTTCACAAAGTAATATCAGCTGCTAAAATGTTTTTTTGCGGCTGATATAAATTTTGTAATAAATCATAGTGAACTGGTCCATGTTTAATATACATTTTGTTGCATTTAGTTCACATATTTTCAGTTTAAAATACACACATTTAGACTTTACTCAGTAGCAAGGTGTCTCTTGTATGGTCAGTAACAGTATACGTGTATCCAAAAACAAAATATATTAAGTATATGACTTTGTACATGTAACTATTCACCCTGGAAGATTGTGTAGTGCAAGCATGCATTGAAGTGCCCTGCAGTATGTCTTCTCTTAGGTGGTAATCGTAAATTAAAAAGACTCTTATATTGATCTTGAAGTTCCAGGGGGGAGGGGACCTTAAAAGCCAAACGTTTTTTTGTGAATCAAAACTGGAATTTGCAGAGGGATGGGGTGAGGAGATCTCTGTTTAATAATTAAAAGATGTGTAACTCTGTGCATGTGCCATATAATCGAGACATTTGGTTATCAGACTCATCATCTGTACCACTTAGATCATCCTGTCCCTCAGACAAGTTATGAGCTACTGTCCAGATACAAGGGACCATGGGCTGCTAGGAACAGTGTTTAAAGTGCTATTATGATGGAATTTGCAGATGACCTCCATAAGATGAACTTAGCAGTTTTGTTACCATGGCAACATACTGGGTTTCAACATGCCCTGATATAGGCTTTTCTGGCCACCTTTGGCTTTCCATTTTGATATTTACCAATAGTGCCTCATCTGCATGATCCAGCAAGCATATTAATATGTAAGGTCGAAGTTGTGGCCTTGTTTAACATTTTTTGAACTGAAAGTCACTGAATTATTGAAATCAGGTTAGAGCCCGGGACTGGAAAAGAGTGAGTTGCCATGGGAAAATACAGGCTTTATATAATTTTTATAGCCATAGGTGTGTTGCTTGTAGATCTATAAGGCTACCAGGTTTCAATGATCTCTGCTGCATGGTCTCAACTCAATGTAACATTGGGTTGAGTGTATGCCATCATCAGTCACCTCATTTGCATAGTTCACTTTGGAATCGATGCAGATATTTCTGATGGGTAAACAGCATTTTTAATCTTTTGTGGAATTTTATGTGATACACCTAAAAATTCTAACTCAAGGGGCAAAAATTTAATGATAGAAGCACATTAAAGCATTGAGTTGAATTTAAGCTGTTGTCAAAATTTTGCTGTAAGGTGTGGAAGAGAATTTTGGAGGAGAATTTGGTGTGTTTATTGAATTGACAGAGGTTGGTGTTTAATTGCTTTTGTCATTATCTTCTATATTTTTGAGGCAGAGTGGCTGGTGGCAAAAGCAAAACTGGCAACATCCTCACTGACCTGTGTTTAGATGTTTTTAGGTTTTTGTCTCTGACAGTGAAGGTCAATTTAAGTAGTTACACTGTCTTTACAACAGAACATATGGATATTAATAGTATAGTTATATTTTAATATCCTCATACCAAAATTATAGTAATGTTATGGCTCAATTTCTACCTCTGCTTTAATTTGTTTAAACCAGTTCAATTTTTTAGACCAATTTAATTTCATCAAAGGGGAAGGGGGAATCTTAGAGCAGTAATAAATTAGGCCAACAAGTATAACGAAATTTGCAATGATTGCTTTCATGGCCTAATGGAGATGAAGTGGACCAAAATGTCAGAGATCTGATATTTGAATCTAGGTCGTTCTGTACAAAATTAAAAAAAGATTGTATTGTAGTATGGGAGTATTATGGTAAATAAATTATGTTGGGGGCTGATATAGAGACTTAAAGGGTCCGTAGTGTGCTTGTGATTCTTTTGAAAACCACTCTGAAAGTGAAAATAAACTGGTTTGAAAAATTTACAGCAGAGGTAAAAATTATGCATTATATCATGTTTTTTATGGGTGGTAAATGACCAAATATCCACAAGAGAAATACAAACAAGAGAAGCACTTTATTTTTCCTCTTAATCAGTGCTCTTCTGAATTCCTCTTGTTAAACTAAATTGTTTTTTTCTGTTAAAATTAACATTTCATAACATTTTTACACTGGACTTTTCCTCTGAAACCCTTACTAACAAAATAATCATTACTGACGAAAATTATACTGTTTATGATAACTGCAGCACTTCTTGCGTGCTCATTGGCTAATTTTTATCGTCAATAAGTGGACAGCCACATAAATTTATAATTTAAGAGATGCGTCAACAAGCGAGGGCGTGCAATTTGGCAATTTGTTATCGTAAAAGAGCAAATTGACATCAGTTTTTTTGTGCATCTGCAGATGAGTGTATGGGTGTATGCTATCACCTCGTGGATCCACAACCATTTTGACAACGTTATGACAAAATTCATGATCAATGCCAGGACAGATGCATGAAAAACTGACGTCAAATTGTTAAACTGAAAAAGATCTGGTTGTTGGTCTTTTTGGGACTGATGGAGGCCTCTAAAGTTCTCAGTTGTTGTTTAATTTTAGTGAATGTGTCATTTAGGGTGAGTGAATTGAAATGATACCATAATATATATATATGTTTGTATTTTCTTAGGTGGTTACCTCCACCAGCATACAATGCCATAATTTAGATGATGCTGAACCTGCTTTCACATCTTTAACATACATGCAAAGTGTCAGTGGACCTGTCCAAGTGTGATTTTTCTACTGATTATGGAAATCACGATAAAGATACAGAGCCACTCTGGTGTGATATCTTCCTCGACAGTGAAATGCAACCTAACCAAAAGTTGCATTCTGTAAGAGATTTACAAAAATTAAATGGAAAATTTAACTACATCAATTTGTATTAATTTCATAAGTACTCCTCTCTCCAAAATATATTTGGTATGTTGTCTTACTGGTAACAATGTAATTTGGAAATTTTATGGGAAATGTTTCCATTTAAAAAATATCCAGCTCAGGCACAATAACACTAATTCTCCTTTCTGCAGTGTTTTCTTCTGTGTGAAAGTTTGAAAACAAATTCTATTACCGGCCACATGTAAGTTGAGAAATATGGGAGCTCCTCTGAAAAAATTGTTAGTTATGTTTTTCTGTTCATTTTTTCACTGATGTAGAAAAGGTAGTTGATTAAAAAGAGAAGAGGAATTGATCATTGTAGAGTTCTTCTTGGTGCTGCAGTCAAAAACAGGAAAATGAACATCTTTTGGCCAAACGTGATGCATAGGTTCTGATGTCCAAATAATATTATGGTTGCTTATTGAAACCCTTTAGGTGGCTGAATTCGTTCTTTGGTGAAATCATTTTATAATAAATAATTATTTATTACATATTTGAAATAGACTTCAACTGAGCACAACAACAAAACTCAAGATGAACACTGCTTTTAATAGGAACAGTTTCTTATTAAGTCCACTGAAATACTGACTACCATAATGTAGCACATAAAAGCTAAGAGGATACATTGTAACCAACAGTCTCCTATACATGCAGATTATACATTTTTTATTGAGTTATAAATAACATAATCTTTACAGCAGCAGGACACACATGTAGAAGTACAGCATGATAACAACCATTTTAAGAAAATGAAAATTCAACAGGTGTAAGCTGAAACAGTTAGGATAGCTCATACTTCAGATAAACATTGCAGTATTTGTACTTAATTAATAGAGACAGATTGACGCATTCTACTTTTGTGTTCCCTTATGATAGAGTCTAATAGTTTCATCTAATTGTAGTCCCAATATAAAGGACCGATGTTACTCTACGTGTATATATTCATGTATAGGAACATAATACAGAGCTGCTAATTTTAAGTTGAAGTTGTATTTCTGTATTTCCACTGTAAAGTTATTAGGTTCATTTCTGAGTTAAGTTTTGACACAGGTGAGTTCAGGTGGATTTCACTTGTTGAGATTCTTGACTTTAAGAAACCTACATGAAGTTCGAAGGTGTTTCCAACTCTGCAATTATACGTGCAGTTTTAAATATGTGCTTGTAACCAATATCTTTTGCATACAATGAGTTTCAACAGTTCAAGTGGCAGCATATCTTATTCTCTCTGTAAGCAGGGGTATTCCACATTCATCTGTAATTGTCAGATTAGTTCCATGAAGTCTTTAGGGTGACTTAAAGCCAGTTTCTACGAAGTCTTTCAATATCATTTTTGGCAGCTGATAAACACATATAGCATCAGTAATGGTGTTGTTAATATTAACATCTGCTCACTGCCACTTGCATATTATACTGTAGTTGTTACTGCAGCGTTCATCTGGGTTATTTGCATATGCACAATAGTACAACTTCACCTGCAATATGAAATAAAGATAATAGTCCCTTATTTTAAAAGGTTATAAAAATGAATGCAGAAAAATTATTCATGTGTATCTTTAATTTGCTGCCCTTTCCCCTCCCCACTACCTAACCCCAATAAAAATAAGCTACAGCTATACTTACCGAAATGTGATGTCCAAGTGATATTTCTTGCTTTTCTGGAAAGGGTTTAAGAACGAAAATGCCAGGTATAAGTGGCATGCTTTCCTTCAAGAAACATTGGAACTGAAATAATTCCTTTAACCTGAAAAATTTATTCTTATGTACAGCATCTGCAAATTCTGGTAGAGTTACATGTAATTCTGAATCTCTATAAGGACTAGGAANTGTATGTATGTATGTATGTATGTATGTATGTATGTATGTATGTATGTATGTATGTATGTATGTATGTATGTATGTATGTATGTATGTATGCGTGTATGTGTGCATGTACGTTCTGCCAATAAATGTTGTGACTTTTCTATATGTGATTGAAATAGTTGCTTGATGCATTTAGATATTTATTTAGTATGTAAAGTTTCATATTCAGCTAAATTGATGAATTCTTTTAACAAATATTCAAACAGGTTTCATGGAAATTTATATATTAAATAGGCTTATGATCACTGTAGTAGGACTCAAGGGTATCTGCTGATTGTACACATTGTGGTACAGGATCTGTCTGTGTACGGTAGTCAGTAGTATACTGGTCAATCAACTGAGTGTATCCTTTGTCTGTTATCAGATGTTTTGTTAAAGCCTTTTGTTCTGGATTTGCCTGCATTAGATCAGTGCTGCAATCCCCAAGCAGTACAGTTGAATTGTAGATTCTATTAATACTGAGTTGTGAAGATGAGCAAGAGCGTCAATTAAGGTAATTCCCCTGAAATAAAACTGTCAATAGATTTTTGTTCAAACTTTATCCACTGAATATTTATCATATGAGAACTTTGATTATAAAATAAAAAGGGGGGGTGCCCATGCTCGTTTTGGAGCAGTGAGGCATTGAAAATATCCCAATTTGGCATTATTTAATGCTTATTACAAGAACGCATTCGGAGTCATTGTAAAATCTTTGTGTGCCCAGACTCATGAAAACACGCCTCAAACTGCAGTCAATACTTGTGTCGGATACAAATAAACTTTTTAATTTTGATTTTAACAGACAGCTGAATTGTTGAAATATTGGAACCAAATTGCTTGCCACGGCTATCAAACTTCAAAATAGAGAGGACTACAGTGCAGCTGCTATTTTCCTTATTTATTCAATTTTCAACAATAGAAATAAAATTAGTCTTATCTCACGCAAAGCTAATGATTAGTTAGTTAAAACGACTGGAAAAATTGGGGGTGCCCGACCTCGTTAGTGAGCTATAGCCATTTTTCAACTGACAGAACTCAACATCAAGGCAAATCCGCCATGTTTTCAATGTGCATGTGCACGAGCACGCGCTAATGACGCCATAAATTATGCGCAGTAAAGATGTGCAATGCAAATGTGAGGACTCACCTTAAGTGTGAAATTGTAACTTTACTTTTCGAGTGATAGATACCAATGACATGATTATTTGGAATTGGTTGGCTTAAAACCATAATAGTAATTTCCAAATTAAACTTACATCTGTATGGAATTTTAATTACTACAATTCAATTCATTCTTAATGTACACAGTTCCATAGCAAGTAACAAATTGAATTACTGAATCGCCCACAAAAATATCCTCTTGTTTATTTTTAAGGGGTTCACGGCCTGCCTATGTTAAAGGAAGTGTTTACCAATTAAGGGATTGCCAAGGGAAAAGTTAAGATATCTTTTTTAGGGTTCTTAGCCAATCGTAACAGAATTTATAACACCAGTTTGAGTCACAAGCAAGAACATGAACTTGTGTTAGTGTCGATGGGCAAGAAAGGTCCGCCGCGTTATGTGTGTGGGTCTGTTCTTGCAGTGTGATACGATTAACAGCTCTCAAGTACTCCAAAGTGTTTCTTTGTGAACGGTAAATTTGAAAACATAGGCAAGCAAGACGTGCAAGAGTTATTTTTTTGTGAAGTCTCGGAGAGAGGAGCATTCACGGAACTGTTTACAATAAAGATTTGGTTAATTTGACAAGTTTTTTTGGTTGCGATGTAAAGCAAGAAAGAAACTGGGAATTTATGATGTACATACGAGGTTACATCGGTAATGGTAAGATAGCTAAATAGTAAGCCATAAAATGGGATGTTACTAAAACGGGGAACGGAGAACGGAGAACCGGGAACGGGAGTCTGGGAACTAGTGTACAGCGGTAACCCGCCTGAGAATTCAGATTGGCGGACAAAGGAATCGGAAAGGGAACAATTTGGG